TCAAAATGTTCGGTTAAATTTTGAACGGTACTACTGTATATAGATACCGGTACATCTAAATAATCCACACTTCCTAATTACGACATAGGATCACGCGATTTGACAAGGTTGATTCGTCCCACCACTGTGCAGTAGTAGACTTCCGGGAAAACATGCATGCAGGTGGAAGAGGCGTAACACGAAAGAAAAGAAAAGAAAAGAGGAAGAGGAAGAAGAGGAAGAAGAAGAAGAAGAAGAAAAGGAAAAAGGAGGAGGAGAGAGAGACGAAGAAAATAAGAATGTGGAATATAAAGTGTAAGAAGATTTATAAATCTCAGGATTATCAATCAAAGAGGAAAACGCAAGATGTCGTATGGTCGACCGACATCGGTCTTCTCCGCCCTTTTGTACTTCCTTCAACCATCTCTCTTTCTCTCTCTATCTATCTCTCTGTTTCTCTCTCTCTCTCTTTCTCACACTCACTCACTCTTTCACTATCTCATTCTCTGTCTCTCTTTCTGACTCCGATTTCAAAGATTCCGCCTCCAGAAACGAGATATCATTTGCCGCATGCCATATCCTTTCAGAAGAACAAGAACAAAAAGAAGAGGAAGAAGAGGAAGAAAAGGAGGAAGTAGAAGAAAAAGATGAGGAGGATGAGGAAGAAGAGGAAGAAGAAGAAGAAGAAGAAGAAGCATACATCATCGAACGTCACAAAGTTACTTTGAGACGGATCATCGTGCGCAAGTTAGTACAGTAACAGTAATGCTTTTGCTAGTGCATTGCTGGTTATTAGTGTTGGTGCTGCTGATGCTGATGCTGATGCTCATCCCGATGCTCTACGTATCATCTCTCCTCTCTCCTTCCTCACCTCTTTTTAACCACCAACACCACCAACAGCAATACCTCTCTCTCTCTCTCTCTCTCTCTCTCTCTCTCTCTCTCTCTCTCTCTCTCTCTCTCTCTCTCTCTCCCCGATCTCCCTACCACCCTCCCTCCCACCCTTCATCATCTATCCTCTTTTGAAAGGTGCCCGAGATAAGTTTATTTCGGTTGGTATGACACATCAAGATTCAAATGGACAACGTCGCCCAAGTTTTCTCTCTCTCTGAGAGACGGCTTGACTTCGCGTTGGCGGACACGACCGACGCACGTTTTCCGGCCTAACGTATTGACTGTTACGTTCTAATGGTTCCACGATGATGACTAGAGTGTTAGAATGGCATTGGTGAAGGAGAAGGGAAAACTGACGAGGGGTGGTTAAGTGGGGAAGCCATTCCAGTGCTTAGGAAAAACTTATTACAACGGGCGTATTTTCTTTTTTTT